CCCCCCCCCTCTCCAGGGCACCATAGGCGGCAGCCTGAAAGCCACTACTTGACAACTACTACTACTACTACCCCCCCTCTCCACCACCTTACGCTTGGCTTATTAATGATCAAGAACAGCATTCCAGAAAATACGCTCAAAAATATGCTCAACAAGGAGTGGCTTACAACTTGTAATACGGTGGACGGAATGAATTGGAATTCAGGGGAAGCTTTACAAAGTCCATGTAATTTAGAAAACTTTATTATCAATTTTTTAGATTAATTTGTGAACAAGAAAACATTTAAAAGATGGACACTTCACAACACTTAGGTGGACTGATTTGGTAGGTACGCCATGTGGACTCATCTGTTTTCACCTGGAACAGAGAAAAAAAAACAAGCTTTAGTGTCTATGGCCTAAAATGTAAAATATTAACGCACTCTGAAAGAAGCAAAGCCAAGTACAGGGTCTGGTGCAACAACGTATTCGTGACATCACATTATTTAGTTTGGTTTACGTGACAACAAGCAGTGATCTCCAGAGCAGAATTTTGAGGAGTAATCAACTTTCAAGATAATTTTAAATTGATGCTGGAATGCGGAATGTTAGAGAATGGTGCACAGGTTCTTAAAAGATAGAAAATTAATAGTGATCATTAGTGGCGTTCTCAGCCGAGTCCTTTGATAGGATTTATATGGCTCACTTCTCGTTTATCATTTTATTTGTCTTAAAGACCAAACTCAGTAGACAGTGGTTAATTTAAAAGAGAACGTTTGCATAAGGAAAAAACAAGCACTATAAATTTGGTTGGGCCATTAATTCGAGGTTAGTGACGGTAAAAAGCTCTTTTATTGTGAAAATTAAAATCTAACGCCGAAGTAATCGACTTACCACGTCAGTAGAAGCGAAATAGTTGATTTCCGAAGCGAACGGCACGGTAACCTCTAGTACATGGGGGAAAACCCTAACAAAACAAGTGCATTAGCTCACATTTTACCCCATATATCCTAAAGAAATTAAGTTTTCTGGATTCCAATGACACCAAAATGAAGCTGAGGCACCACTGCATCACATAAGTCGTTTCCAAGTTAAACTGAATCGTCTTCGAATTATGGTAGGGGCTCAAACATTCAGACGCTCATATCTCCAATCGAGCCAATGAAGACTTACGACCTTATACGGGAACCCTCACGAGACCCGACGTTCTACGCGAGCGCTGGGAGAAACGACCTTATAGGCGATGCCCCCGAAGAACGACGTTATACGCGACCGCTGTGAATGCCGACCTTTTAGTTTTCAGGTGTCGATATAGTTTGTAATATCATGTTATTAATTGTTTAATGCAAGGTCAGTATTACACAAAATAAATTTTTCTTACTACACACTCTTTGGCTATTGTAAATAGTACCTCTAAGAGATTTCCGAACAAGGTGCAGTTTTGATCCATGTTTGGGTCAGAGTCCAAACATGGATCACAACCCCTAAAAATGGTAAGGGGTTGTTTTAGGATGAAACAAAAAAAGTTGCCAACCCCTGATACTGTTGTGTATCACATATGTGAAGGAGAAATCAATAGCTCGGTGATCCATGTTAGGGCACCCCCCCCCCCCTAACATGGATCAAAATTCGAGGTCGAGGGAATTCCCTGTAACTTCTAAAGTATTGGAGCTAGAAAGTTCATTCCAACGGAATATCATTCCAAAAGGTTCAAACTACACAACCCGAGGGGGCACCAACTTCGAATATTCACGGTTCACGAGCGAATTAATAACTAATATTCAGTCGATATTAGCAGATATTCAAACGATATTCAGTGTATTCAAAATATTTGGAAGTATTCGTGATATTCGTGATATTCATGATATTCAAAAGTATTCACCAATATTCATGAGTACTCATAATATTTATCCATATTCAAATCATATTCATCAATATTAAAAGCATATTCACTAGTATTTAACTGTATTCAATAGTATTCAAGCGTATTAAATGATATTCACTGCTATTCAGAAGATTCGAAAGTTTTGTTAGTGGCATTGTAACACTCCTTAGACCATAGTGAGGCATTATGGCATACAATTTTGAGCTAATACTCCAAAATATTCACAGGATATTCACGAATATTCATTTATATTGATAACTATTTACGGATATTCGTTAATATTCATGAATATTCATGGCTATTCATTAGTATTAACGCCTATTCACATGTATTCACGAGTATTCACCAATATTCACCCGTATTCAACACTATTCGGCAGGTCTATCACGTTCCGTTTTAGCCATGGCGCCCGAGCCCCGTTCCAACGGTCTAGACGGTACTCCGTTCCGGCGTTCCTGGCGTCCCCAGCGTTGCCAAATTTCCACTTCCCCCACCACACCCTACGTTCCTGCTGGCTGGCCGCAAGGACAAAGCAAATGTCGCAGCCATCATCGTCCAGCTCAGCTGTCTCTGCTCCCGGCTCGGTCTCATTTGATTTGGTGCCGTGCGACGTGCGATTAGGTGCGACATCGATTGATTTGAGATCTTGCCACGTGTTCTTTGGTAAAATTGAAAGCAATTCGGAGCTATGGCGAATATCGGTAAGTCTTCTTTTTTAAATCAGCAACGTGTGTTATAGATTCGAGTGCCAATCCCGAGGGTGCAACGCGCGCTCGAAGTGAATCTGGCGCCCCCGGCCCGTCTTGGTTTTCACTTTTGGCTCTCGCATTTCGTCATCCGGATTTGGTTTCGTAACTAAATACAGCTTTAATCATTGTATTTTATTGCGCTTCCGTAAAGGTGACGACGACAGTCTCTTCGTATTACCCGTCTCGTGACTCTTTTGCGGCTTAACCTAGTCATTGCACGTGGTATTCCTGTCATTCATTCGATGTCGCCTTTCTACAACCGATCGCGTGTTTTTGTTCGTTTCTCGTGGGAAACTATTACATCGTAGTGCTCTTGTATTTATTCGCATTTCATCATGACGTGCTCTGTCAGCACGTGTTCGTACTCTGTACTGACAGTGCATGCAGATATGCAAATATATCAGAAAAGTAGCCCCTCTAACCCTTGTTTCCGTTCCAGATCCAACAGAGAAACAATGGATGAGGTTGATGGACGTGGTGGCCACGGATAAGGAAATGCAGGGGGACTTCCAGGGCCCGGGGGCTGCGGGACGGGTCTCAGCCAAATGGGAGACGTTGGCGGCCACGCTCAATGCTCTGGGTGGTGCCTTCAAGACAGGGGAAAAATGGAAAGAGGTTTGTGGTTTTCTTCTTGCCTTTACTAGATGATTTGCTCCGCAAGTGCTATGAGTTCAGTGCTCTGAGCTTCAAGCATTTATTTTGTTTCTTAGATAAATCTATGTAGCTTTGAAAGAGATGCTGAAAACTGGAGCTTTTGTGGAGTAAATTGATCTGTACTAATTATTGTAATCTATTCGTCAGGCATTCAACAATCTGCGCAATCGAGCGAAAAGGCAATACAATGACCGTGTTAGGTACATGGGCGCTACTGGTGGAGGTCCCCCACCACCACAACAGCTGGGTCTAAATGCAGTCTATCAAAGGGTCTTGCAGTTTGTACAGAAGGAGCAGCTGCATGGCAATGCCGTACCTGTACCACTCCAGGTAAGAATACAGTCTGTTTAGTCATACTTATCTCTTTGGGCACGAATCAACCCAGGAGAATGTGAGAGCTTCTAGAATGACGATTTACCTCTATTTGCTATTATTAGATGCAGGCCCAGCTCATCCAGCAGCAACAACAGCAGCAGCAGCAGCTTGTCCAACAACAACAACAACAGCAGCAACAGCTTGTCCAACAGCAGCAACAGCTTGTCCAACAGCAGCAGCTTGCGCAGCAGCAACAGCAAGTCGCTGAGCAGCTTGCCCAACAACAACTGTTGCAACCACCTGCTCCTCAAGCTGAAGGATTGATTAATGCTGCTGTTGCCAACAACCCTAATGCAGGGTTTTGTCTCTGTGGGTAGTACAGACAGTTATGGAGACTAATACGATTTGGTTGTCGTTTTGTTATCTTATGTTTCTTTTTAATTTCAGTACCTCAATACTACCCCATGGCGGGCATGGTGGGTGCCAGCTCCAGCAGCTTTTCGGCTCAATCTCAATCACTGCCATCCACATCATGGAGGACGCCAGAAGTGGAGCCCATAAACCATCAGCTACAACATCCAGCTGGATTTTTGCCTGGCCAAGGTATTGTGCTTTTTATTACCCTGAGATATTGTGAGTGGCCAAGTGGCAATTCAATGGATTTTGTCTCAGCAGTAGATTAGGAGAGGCCAGAGGTGGTACAGATACCATGCCTGAAAATCATGGATGGTCTGTATCGCCCACTGGTGGCTCCATAAATCTACTGTGTGACAAAAGACCCCTTATTTGCAATCTTGTCTCCTTCAGGGACAAAGTGCAAGTGTCATTTAGCCATTCACAATTTGCCAATGGTTCACACTAAATCCTTATGCATTTTGTTGCTCAAACATGCAGTAATGTAAACAGCCCTAAAATGTCCAATTTCATGCAGAACTATGTAAAATCTTTACATGATTATGCATTAAAACTGTGACGCTTCAATTTTCGAATTTGCTTGTTGCAGGAACTGGGGACCTTATCGAGGCCATACAGGTGCTGACGGCCACCATCAGCAGCCTGAGTGCGAACATTGATGCTGGCTCACTTAATCAAGCAATTGACAAATTTGTTCAAAGCATTGACCAGCTGAGCAAGCTATCATAAATTTTGCACAAATTTATCATGCAGAATTTTTTGTTTACTAGTCGAGTTTTTGTTTTTCTACCTAAGACTGCAATATTTTTGTTTTGTGATTTGTGACTAGTCTGGGTTTATTACCCCATATCATATTTTGTTATTACTTTAATTTTTGTGTTTCATACTTGCTCAATCCGGTTGGGAAGGTTCTCTCAACATGCTATTGATAAATTCGTGCAAAGTATCATGAGCAAGCTTCCATAAAATTTTTACAAGTTTATCATATGCAGTATTTTCACTAGTCGAGTTTATTTGTTTTTCTACTTAAGTGTGATGAAGACTGAAATATTTTTGTTATATGATTTGTGACTATAGTCTGGGGTTATCACCTCATATTTGTACTTTTTTGTGTTTCACTTATTGCTAAATATTTATGGTTTGGAAGATAACCAAAACAAAATAAAAACAATTAGCCATATTTATGTTTCTTTTATTATTAAAAAAGAGGTATCATACTATATTGTGACGTATTCAACACCTTGCTAAACTCTAGGTTGAGCAAGACGAAACTAATCTACAGAATTTATTGCTCACTCACATCTTTATTATTCTATCTTAACACACAAGTCACCGGCATATAAGCGCTCAATTTTGGATCACCAAGTTTTCATTGGATAGAATTTGATACTGATATTTATATCTGTCAGATTTTGATAAATGCATAAGTCCAGGTGTAATTAAATCGATTGCAATAAATTAAATTAAACCAGTTCTTTGGAATGCTCTGAGATACAACCTGGCTCTCAACACTAGCAATGCAGAGTGAAGTCAGAATACAGCAGATAAGCTTGCACAGCCTTCTTCAGAATTAGTTAAACGAAAAACGCACAAATGCAGATTTACTTTTCCACTCTACCCCCAATTAGTGGGTAGTAAACATGAGATTCAGAAAAAAATAGCCGGGCAAAGAGTGAACATATTGCTACATTCTGACCGGGGGGGGTGTAAACAGATGCTTCAAACAGCTTGATAAATAATAGAGAAGCAAAACATTTACAAATGTTTCTTTGGCAAATTAATTTTATTAGATAGAGAACAACATACAACTTTCAAAATTGTTCACACAAACTGTTTGAAATGTCACAGTACCAACACAGCAGTAAGATCAAATACTTATAATTTGCTGTGGAAAGATAGGCTACTAACGAAACACCATATTTTACAGAAAGAAAATACAACCCAAGAAAGGGGGAAAAAAAAACATTTACAAAAGACTAACTAGGCACATGTATAATCAATCGACTTATCTTAAAAAGAGAAGGCTTATTCCTGAGCTGTGTGTTAAAAGACGAGGACTTGGAATCACCCAACTATACTACTTATAGTACATGAACACAAAAATTGAGTTCCCCTTGAACACCCTCCTATTTGACGGCCACCAATTTTTAATGGCTATTTCAATTGACTTCCAAAGGTATCACAGAACAAAAATCTGCAAAATTTCATTTACAATGAAAGAAGAAACAGACAAATCACATAGTAACAGAGTTATTGAGAAAAAATCCCAGTCATAGAGGAAAATATAAATCACTTGTAAGAGCAGTTAAATTTAATCCCTTAATAATGAAAGAGACCAAACATATCCTTCTAATTTCCATTTGCTGACCTTTATAATTATAGATATTTATCAGTCTGTCATACAGCTTTCTTAGACAAAATAAAAATGGGCTTTTATTAAAAGCTTAACAGAAAAAAATTCTAATGATAATGCAAGAGGGAAAAAATAGAAAATGAGCGGAGATTACTTTTCAGTCTGATCTCCTTTTGCCTTCAGAGAGAAGAGAGAGTTTTGGGCCCATCAAAATTTCAAACTGGTCTTGCAATACCATTCAACACCAATACCAACGCTAACATTACCAAATGATTCAAATATTGACCTAGGTTTCCTAACTTACTAAAAATTCAAGAAACAAAATAGTCAAACAATAAAAATTAAGAAGGCGTACCATCTTAACATAGTGGCTAAAGATCTCACAAGTCATAAATGTTTATCACTCAATAATTATTAACAGTTAGATATGTAGTACTGGAATTATTTCTTTAGCAATAAAATGATTAGCCCTATTTACACAATCCTACAAAACATGAGAACAAGGCTGGAGGCTGGTGTAAGAGAAGTTAAATCTCCCAATATTTAAGGATTTTGAGTATGAAAGCAAAGCATTCTGGCTCACCTAACTCACAATTAAGGTGACAGCTGTTCATGACATTCCAAATGCAAAAGTATGAAAAAACTATCAATTTTAGGAGTTGTTGTCTATGTAGTTCAATAGACCTTGCGAACGTTTTAGGATATGTTTCCGATCATAAAAAGAACATGCAAGGATAAAAAGTTGGAACTTGCAATAGATGAAACCTGAAACCAATTAAATAATTGCATAAATGGCAGTGACAAGGCGAAATTCTGTATCAAATGCATCAATCCATAGAAATATCAGAGATCAAAATAAAACACACCCTTCATTGATTTCGAAGCCAATGGGCATGTTGCACTAAGTACGCAAGGTTTTCATCTGCTTCTCGGTGGAGGTGCGGAGGAAGTCTGACAACCACATCTGGATTTAGTATATTCTCGGGATCAGGGCCATCTTGGTGCAGGTGGTAGTTTGGAGGAACAGCTACACGAAGACTAGTCATAAGGTTATGGAGAACAGCACAGGCGTTGACTATTCTACCACTTTTCACAGGAGAATAGTGAATCGGTAGGAAGAGACACCGCCATCTGCTCTTCAGCACACCAATACATCTCTCCACTGGATTTCGGCACTGGCAGTGGACCTTTGTGTAGTTGTACTCTGGAGTACCTCGGGGTGCATCTGGTAAAGGAGTCATGAGCCAGGGCTCCAGGGGATAACCACTATCACCTACACAGAACAAGAAAATACATGAGACAATGCAGCATGGTAGATATAGCATACAAAGTAATTCAAATTAATCTCACGATGTTGTTGAAATTCTATAGTGCTGTATTTAAAGGTCTACTTTCAAGACAAAATATAACACTTGTTATTCACCTCCCCCCACCTCCAATTTTTGCTATTTTTCTTATGCCATGCCCTTGTCTTTTAATCAACCTTTTAGAAACAACTTCAGGAAAAAAGTATGAAAACTACAACCTAGAAGCCAACAATGACGATCCTCCTCTTGGTTGGCCCTCTGCATGGCTGCTCTGATGGGATTGTTCTGGTACACCCAGGCATCATGTGAAGAGCCAGGATACCTGGCATCCAACGTCAAGATTTTCAAATTTGTGTCACAAACCTACAAAAACAGAATAAATAAATTAATTAATACAACTTAAATGTGCATTGGAATATTCAAGGGACCTGATAAAACCATGGGATGAAAATTGCTCACAATCATGACATTTAATGAGGTAAACCTCTTCCTGTTGTAATAGTGTTGGTTAGGTCTGCGAGGTGGAAAAATTGGTACTAGAGTACCATCTATCAGACCCAACACACCTGGTAGGCCCAATCGACTACTTCTGAAAAAAGAGAATCCAAATAAAGCTTCAGGATGAAAAAACAAAAAATCCAGGCTGCAAGCATAGCTTACACTTCAATAGAAGCAGCTCTTTCAATGTGGGTTGCAGGAAACCGCACAAATGTAGTCAGGATTGTTGGATGATTTAGAGCGTTCGTGACTTCCTCTATCGCGTTGCAGACAGCAGCTTGGCTTAGTAGATGGTGGGCATTGGAACCTGTGTGTTCTTGATAGCTGCCAGTCGCATAATAGAAGAGAGCACACAGCAACTTCACAAGAAGAAAAAAACAGAAGGAAAAGTTGACACGACTTAATATCACACAACAATATAGGAAAACAAGATAACTTGAGCTAGACTACCAAAGGGCAAAATAATGAAATTGAGGTGAGGACACTTACTCGCAAATGGAATGGAGACGCACGGGGGCTCACACACCGACGAGCATACGGCTGAAGGCAGTCTACAAGGAGCAAAAAGACATCTTGGGGCATTCTGTACAGCTCTACAAAAGCTTCTACCGTAATATCCAGCGGATCCTGTCTGTCTCTCATCCTGTAACGCCAGATCCCGACGTTACGAGCTCGGCGCCGATGCTCTATGATAGGGTTTCGTTCACGTCCCGCAAAGTAATCATAAGCTGCGAATGAAATTTGGGGATTAATGGTTGCTGCGAGGTTATGGATTGAATGAAAAGCTGACAGTACTTACCCATTACGAGACTGACAGGACAACCGACACAAAACGAAACTACGAGTAAATCAGAATTAGTAAGAGGGAAGAAAAGATGATCAGTTCCGACTGTCCATACACAAGGCAAGGTAAATAAACAATTTTGCACGGCACCAAACCAAACGAGACCGAGCCGGGAGCAGAGACAGCTGAGCTGGACGATGATGGCTGCGACAGCAGGAACGTAGGGTGTGGTGGGGGAAGTGGAAATTTGGCAACGCTGGGGACGCCAGGAACGCCGGAACGGAGTACCGTCTAGACCGTTGGAACGGGGCTCGGGCGCCATGGCTAAAACGGAACGTGATAGACCTGCAGAGTATTCAAATGTATTCACCAATATTAAGTGTACTAACAATATTCATCTATTCAATAATATTCACCAGTATTTACTGATACTCAATATTTGAATATATTCACAGTGCACCAAATTTCCGAGTTGGTGCCCCCTCGACACAACCATGAAAAAAAATCATGCTCATCACACTTTTATCGACCCCAAAACCACGGTTTTCTGAAAAATGATCCATGTTTGGTAGGTTTACCCTAAATTTATTAATTTCCGAAAATATTGAATGGTCTCCTAAGGGGTAACTTGTCAAAGCACAGCCCTTTGGGCGAAAATTTCGTCCGTTTGGCTCTATCTCTTACCGTTTAGGCGCTAGAGGGTCTTGTT